ACAAAGAAAATACTGAGTCAGTGGAACCGTCTCAGTATAAAGGATGGTGTTCTCATGCGGAGAATTCATGACCAAATTGATGGCACAATACACCAGGTGGTGGTGCCGGGACAATTACGAGGAGAAGTGCTAAGGTTGGCACATGACAGGGCAGGACACCAGGGTCAGGACAGGACGCACAAAATATTACGACGAAGGTGTTACTGGCCCAATATGGAAATGGAGGTCAAACGCCATTGTGAGGCTTGTGTGAGGTGTCAGCATGCGAAAATGCCAGTTGTCAAAATGAGACAGCCATCAGGACACCTACTAGCGACAAAACCACTAGAGATTGTGGCGATGGACTTTACGTCGTTGGAGCAATCATCGGATGGGACGGAACATGTGTTGGTAATGACTGATGTATTCACCAAATGGACTGTGGCGGTGCCCACACGAGATCAGACTGCCAAAACAGTGGCAAAGGTATTAATAGAACATTGGTTCATCAAATATGGCGTACCAAGACAATTACACTCTGACCAAGGAAGGGCTTTCGAGTCAGAAGTAATTAACCAACTGTGCAGCCACTACGGGATCAACAAATCTAGAACAACCACATTTAATCCGAAGGGAAACGGACAGTGTGAACGGTTCAACCGCAGCATGCATGATTTGCTGCGTACGCTAGAACCTGAACAGAAAAAACGTTGGCCTGATTTTCTCCCAGAGTTGGTATATCTATACAACTGCACACCCCATGCCACAACCGGCTTTACGCCATACATGTTGCTGTTCGGACGAGAGGCTCGACTCCCTCTTGATTTGTTCTTAGGAAAAAGGGAGAGTATGACTGGCTCATACACCGCACTGGAATATGTGAATGAACATATGAGAAGAATTAGAGCAATGTACAGGGTAGTACAGGAAAGACTAGAACATGAATCTCGGCGAAGGGAACCGCCGATACAGACGAAGGACCCGCCACTCAAACTGAATGACAGGGTATTACTGCGTAGCCACCCGTTAGGCAGAAACAAAATCCACGATCTCTGGGGACAGGAGATATGGCAAGTCGTGGAGATGCCTAAAGTAGCAGGTGGCCCCTTTAAGATAAGACCCATCGATCACGCCAAACCGGATCGGTGGGCGAATATTGCTCAATTAAAGAAATATTGGAATAGGCAAGAAGAGCAGTTACACACAGAGAAACCCAAGACGGTTAGGGAACCGGAAGTTATAACGGAAATTCACATACCCATTCCGGAACCATATCACCATCAACAGAACAACCGCGATACGCAAGGGGAGGATACCGGCAACAATGAGGATCCCGGTCCCTCCAGAAGCAGAGAGACAGTAGACCATCAGATAAGTGGTCCGCGGAGAAGTTTAAGGAACAGAAGGAATACGAAATTTTTTGTCAGCAACCATCAATTCTTTCATGGTCGCGCTGGTATGAAAACAGACTGTTCAAAGAGCTATAGAAGTGAACTGGTGAAGGCACCAAATGGAAAGGGTGGATGTGAATTCTAGAACTGTTTTGTGTCTCAGAAAGATGATGTAGACACAGTTGATATGTGAAATAGGTAGAACTGTCAATCGTATACGAATGGAACGTCGTGGACAGTGAGTGGAACAATAGATTTTTTTTTTACGACTGTGCGATTGACTTTGGAGGAGTGCACCTGCCAGGCGTTGTTTGTGGTTGAAAACACACAAAAAAAGCAGGGGTGGATGTAACTGGGGTAGGCCTAACTACCAGTTACAAATGATAACGAACGAGAAGCCGAGACACAGTGTTGGTCTGATGCAACCGATAACAGGTGGCTTATTGGGTCGGGCTGATAACAACCTCAAAGCCGGCGCGTGCTATTTTGGGAAACGGTATTCAGACGGCCTGTCGGCTTTGATGGATAGGACGCAGATGTTATTTTACGGTCTGTACGTTTGAACTACGCAACTGGTGGTCGGAGATCGAGTACAAGTATCGATTACGGAGGAATACAAGTACGGGGACGAGTACGGATACAAGGCATAAATAGGAGGGCACGGCAGGACTCGTTCTCTCTCTTCCCGTTTCAGCGAGCTCTCTTCCATCTTCATCGCTCGCTTAGATCAGTCAGTCTGTGTGACTATGTCAAGTCGGTTATAGAACGGGTTAGCCGTATTGTGTTAAGAAGGATTATAGACATGTGGATTCAGTTATATAAAGCCTAGTGAAGGACTGTTAGGGGTCAGTTGATTCAGACTATTATTGAGAAGCATTCCTGTTGATTTATTGGTTATTATGAAGCATTTCTTGATTCATGTAATAAAGGATCAATAGCGAACCTGCATCTTGAGTATCTATACTGTGGTCAATGTTGTCTAGAATGAGTGGTTAAACTCGTTAACACGTGGCACTACAGGCAATTAGGTCTCATTACATGTGGCGTTGCGAGCATGGTAACTGTTGGCTCGTTACAATTGGCGTTGTCGGCAGGATAAATGTTCGCTCGTCACATATAATTTGTGTATATATTTATATCTTTGTATATATGACTTCATATGTATATATGTTTATGCATCCAAACACACATGTATTTGTATGTATATATACATATATATGTATGTATATATATTAATATATATATGGAGGCTATATATGTTTGTATATATACATATATATGTAGGCTATATATATATATATACATACATGTATATATGCATTGTGTGTGACCTTGACACGATTATAAGCATACACCAGCCCATCCTCCCCACAACACCCCCCTCCCCAACCCACTGACCCCTGTCCCCCTGTCCCCCCTGTCCGAACACCCCTGCCCGTCACTGATCCCAGCGTTAAGCTGTCCCCAAGCCGCCCATCGATTCACGTGAGCTGCCCTGATGGCCGAATGGTTCTGACAGCTCACCACGACTATGCAAATGATAATGAAACTGTCTGAACCAGATCCCGCGGACTTGTCCCCTGACCGCCCCGCCCCCCGGGGGACCTCACGCCAGGGCATGTGCCAGCTGGGACAAAAGTCCCCTGCCTGGAAGGGAGAGTGGAGCTCGTGACATAACAATTGGGGGAGAGACAGATATTATCAGTCACGTGATGACAATACGATGAGACAGGTCTTATAACAGTGTAATAGTAAATCTAAGATTGTCTTATTTGATGGGATATTGAATCTGGTAATAGCTTCATAATCACAATTCTATTTACAGCAAGACTCGTATATATATATATATATATATATATATATATATATATATATATATATATATATATACACATATATATATATATATATATATATATATATATATATATATATATATATATATATATATATATATATATATATATATATATTAGTCTGTATGTGTTGTGTCGATATCTTGTGTATTGTATGTCACTTTCTGTAAGAGAAATCGACCGATGTTACGATAGGCGAAACACTCGATATTGCGCAACACTTAAACACACGTTAGTTTCATTTTGACACTTGAAAGCGGAAGTCGTGATAACGTTAACAAAGATTGACAATTGAGACTGAAAATAAAATAAGCTCCTTTTTTGAGCCTGATGATTCATAGTGCAAGAGACAGTTTGGTCAACGCTATGTCCAGCCGTCTTTACTTTCCCTAACGTGAGTCAGGTACTCAACATAGCTGGGTGAACTCAAGAACTTGAACCCGGATAAGAACTCGAGATTTTCGGGTTAGCGGTCTAATGGTCTACCATTCAACAACTCCTTCCCTTATAAATATTAAACTACCCTTTTTTTTTTTAAAACGAAACTTTAATTTGATTATTCAATCGAAACTTTTAAAAGCAATTACCGCGTTTTACCTGATTCTAATTTACAGCCCCCCCCCCTTCTCAGAATTTAAAATTTGACCTTGTAATTTTTCTGGCAGTTCCTACTAAAAATTTTTCTCTTTTGTAACATGCGATTAACGGCACGTTAATCCACTTCTAGAAATGAGATTAACGACACGACAAAGGAAAATTAACCCCTCTTGTATTTATTGAAACTAACAGCGTTTGAAGACAACTGGGTACTTATATCTATTTTTGTTCATGTTACACTGGATAATAAAGACCATAGCCAATCATTAGCTTACGTTTAACGGTCAATGCTTGTAGACCCCACCTTAATCTTACCTCTTTACTGGCACTGTGGGGTCGATTCCATTGTTTTCTACCCCTCAACCACCTTTCACCCAGCTTCCACCCCTCCCCCCCCTTCCCTTCAACCAAACACCTCATGTTACCTACCTTACGCACAAATCTGAACCACCACTCACCAAATTTTCACACACAGTATGTGTGTGTGTGTGTCAGTATAAGGTGTGTGACAGGTATGTGAATGGTTAAAAAAAGACTGTCTATATTCTATAAGAATTTTCAAAATTAATGAACTAATCTTGCTGATACTTACAGTCGTCATTGCCTAAAACTTTTTTTTAATATATAGCTTTGGCAACAGACCCAAATCTCGAATGACGCTATTCAAAACCTTTCGTGTCATATATTTAAAAAAAAAATTCTGTCGTTTCCATCTTTTTATTTGCATGTGAAAACTACGGCATTATCGATTCTGCCTTAGCAGCATAAACATCACAATAGGAGAGATTTCTGGATTTAAATTTGAAAAGAAGAAAACATGAAAAAAATGAAAGTTATTTCCCTTTCTTTTGTTTAGACCGAAATAGTGGAGGGAAGAGAATCCTTTATTTATGAGCAAAACACGACACTTGGATGTTGTAACACGTAAGGATGATTTATTTAGCAGTCAATACACAACATTCGGATGTTGTAATATGTAAGAATGATTTATTCAGCAGTCGAAACACACCATTTGGACGTCGTAATATGTAAGGATGATTTATTCAGCAGTCAATACACAACATTTAGATGATATATTCTGTAAGGATAATTTATTCAGTAGTCGAGGTAATTTATTGAGTTGAAACTAGCTGCAGTTACATGTAAAATATAGGTCTATATATTTGTAATTAAAGAAAAGATCTGCTATGTTGCTCTTGACTTTGAGCAGGAAATGCAGACAGCTTCAACATCATCATCCCTTGAAATGAGCTTCCTGATGGTTAAGTAATTACCATTGGTAATGAGAGGTGCAGGTGCCCAGAAGCTGAATTCCAGCCATCCTTCCTCGGCATGGAGTCTGCAGGTATCCACGAAACCACCTACAACTCCATCATGAAGTGCGACGTCGATATCCGTAAAGACTTGTATGCCAACACTGTATTGTCTGGTGGTTCCACAATGTTCCCAGGTATTGCTGACCGTATGCAGAAAGAGATCACTGCTCTTGCTCCACCAACAATGAAGATCAAGATCATTGCTCCACCAAAGCGCAAATACTCTGTATGGATCGGAGGCTCCATCTTGGCCTCTCTATCCACCTTCCAACAGATGTGGATCTCCAAACAAGAGTATGATGAATCTGGTCCATCCATCGTCCACAGAAAGTGCTTCAAGATTAAAAAAAACCAACATAGCTGTAATTAATTAATTTAAGATCTGACTGCATTTATCCCAACTAGTCTTGCATACTTTGCTCCCTGTCAGCCTTTTGAAATCAGTCCCAGCAAGATGTGTTGCAATTGTATTTAGTCATTGACGCTGCCATTCATGACACGTTAATTGTCCTAAACATTATCTGTTTATATTTGTATCATTCTTAAATAAAACAATGCATTTAAGATGTACACTATTAAGCAGGATATTCTTTATATCCTAGTATGTGACCATGGGGGTATTCACTCCCTTCTTTTTGGTAATCAAAAAACTATTTTTAAAAAAATTATCAATGTAACACTTTGGCAGAAGGTTACAGTTTTTGTAATTGTATTAATCTATTGTTTTTCCTCTTGCACACACTATTGTACAAAATGTAATAAAACCTGTGTTAAACAAGTAATTATTGTGTGTGGGTGACTACCCTACAGTGTTTACACGTGGGAGAGCACACATGTGAACTGTAAATTTTTCAACCAGCCTTCAACTGTTTCCCTTTTGTACATAAGTTATACATATTCTCCTACATTCAATGAAAAATGCTCATTCCCTTCACGCTTCGTCAGCCACCGTGAACCACCCCATCTGCCCCCATCACCCTAATCCCTGATAACCCTAATCACCCCTTTACCTGCTCCAACGATCTTATTTCGCCCCTCCCTCCCCCACCCCAATATCAACATCGATTCGTTTGGTTTTCTTGTATTTTTTAAAGTGCATATTGTGATGAGATCTATGTAAAATAACTATGTTTCGGACTATTCTACTATGTATATATGTTACCACAGTCAATCATTTTCATACACATTTGGTGTTAATTGTTTTAATTGAAGATAAAAGTATTTTTAAAAAAAAAAAAGTCAAAACACAACTTTTGGATTTTGTAATCTGTAAGGATGAATTATACAATAGTAACCCTGAATTGAAATTAAGAATTACATTAATTGTCATCTATTAAATTGACTGCTTGGTTGTACAAAAGTATAGTGAGATTAAGGTTGTGTAAGTTAACGGTTGTTGTACCGTAGCAGAGATTAATTCAGTTAGAGCTTAGCAAAATGAAAGTAAGTGATTAGGGTAATGGATGCCGAAGCTATCGTGCTATTGGGGCTTCGTGCACCATAGTATTCGTGCACTCTATTTAATTGTTCAAATACCAACCCTCCGTAGAGAACAGTCTACAATTTTTCAAACAAAAATGAAAAACTTACTGAATACCGCTAACTATGAAAAACCCACCAAATACTACCAACAATGAAACATAAACCTAATCCCATTAGTGAAAAACTTACTGAATACCAGCGAATACTACCTATAATGATAAACCCACAAAAAACTACCATTAATGAAAAATCTACCGAATCTTCCTTAAATTAAATCTTACTTATTACGACCAACAGCAATAAAATTACCGAAAACGACTTGCAATGCAAAAACCACCAAATCCCACCTTGAATTTCAATGCAAAACCCACCAAATCCCACCAGCAACCCAGAACACCAAACATAAACAAAAACCGCCCCCCCTGCGCTTCCCCCATCAGTTACTTAACACAACCGTGGGGCATTATGGGATAAAGCTACAGATCACGTGACAAACAACCTACGTCTGCTCGAGGTAAAAAAAAATGTTACACACTCGCTGAGCTACTCACTTGACGACCAGACGGTCTCTGGGTTGGGATAAAGCCCACACACACATCGTAATCTCGCGTAAGGTGATTGGAAAGTAAAGATAATCCCTTTGAAGATTAATTACTAAATGATGAAAGTTAAAGCCTGTTTTAAATTGTAGTCGAAATTAGTTTTCTCACCTACATTTAAAAGAAAAGTAAAATTTTATCTTTTAAACTTAGCGATCCACGGTGCAGATGAAGTAGAGTTCATAATTATGTTTCTTGACCTCAGCGTATGAAGAGATGGCGTGGTCAACACTTTGTCCAGCCGCTTTTACTTTCCCCAACATAAGTCAGGTATCCTTCAGAGCTGAGCGAACTCAAGGACGTCTTTCAGTCACTAGTCCGAAACGAGATTCGAACTCGAGACCTTCGGGCTAGCAGCCAAGCGCTCTACAATTTATTCCACCTACATTGGTCAGACAGTAAAAGACAACTTAAAATATATAAACCTGGTGTTAAGTATTAATGCAAATCCTTAAATTGCTGGAAAATAGTGTCTGTTTTCTTGTTCTTTGAAGAGGACTGTTTTTTCTATACAATCAAAACCTTAATGTTACAAATCGTGATTGATTTAAAAACTGTTTCTTTTAAATTTTGACACAGATTCTTGTTACACGATATTGAATTTTTTAAAAACAAGATTTACGCCGTACTTTTATTTTTTTTTTCTTCACTGGGTGTATTCCCAAACCACGCCAGGCTTAAATAAAGATCTTAGCAGCATAATTACTCCTGATATTAAGTCCAAGGACAAATCATTTTTCAATTTAAAAGAAAAAAAATAATTCGCGCTAATCATCATTTAAACGTGGCCTAATCACGAGTTAATTTATCATGTCGTAATCCGCCCCCACCCCTCTCTTTGACAGGTGACCTTGACATTGCTAACTTGGCATTTGACCCAGCTAGGATACGACTGAAGAGAGAAGTAATCTCAAACACGAAGGTTCGATGATCCCTCCCTACCCAACGCCTGTCCCCCTAACTACGTATTTGATTTGTTTTTACACACAAGATTATGAGCAGTAATGTAGTGAAAATGTTGAATTTGTGTGTGTGTGTGTGGGGGGGGGGGGTACTTTTAATCTCTATTGTTTTGTTTTATGGGCGGGGCGGATTGTTAGATTGTTCTTTAAAGTGACACCATTGGTGTCATTTTTTGAAGAATAGTGTCATTTCTAGAGCGTCAAGGCATCTTTTACGTGAAACTGTAAAGTAAGTGTCAGTAGTTTCTTTGTCAGTCGCTGAGCTGTTAGTAGTTTTATTTTCAGTAGTTTAACTGAATAGTTTCAGCATCAGTAGTTTGATTATCAGTAGTTTAATTATCAGTAGTTTGACGATAAGTTGTTTGACTGTCACTAGTTTCATTTTCAGTAATTTCTTTTTCAGTAGTTTCATTGTCAGTAATTTCATTGTCAATCGTTTAAGTATCAGTAGTTTAACTGTCAGTATAGTTTAACTGTCAGTATAGTTTAATTGTCAGTTTAGTTTAACTGTCAGTAGTTTAGTTCGCACAGTGAGTAAAGCCCTCTACTTCCTTGAACCACAACCACACCTACCACCCTCCACTCCCACTCCCACTCACACGCCCATCGCCCACACATTACACCCCCCACCTCAACTTCGCACCCCTTCTGTTTTACCTACACACATTATCATATCAAACCCCCACCCCCACTCACTATAACCACCCTCACACTCCATTCCAACTTCCACCCCACCCCCGACTCTTAGAAAAAAAATCTATTTATAACCCTAAGCTAAACTAAATGTTGCAGTATGATCTTGATATAATCAGTTTTTTTATTGAGTTTCCTGATTAACTTTCCTTGTGCCTAGAACTCATTCAACTTATACTTTACTCTAAATGACAACCGTTGCCCGATGACATCTACCCTAACACCTAATCCAAATGACAACATAACCTTTACCCAATGGCATCACCCTAACACCTAATCCAAATGACAACAGGACCTTTACCCGATGACATCTACCCTAACACCTAATCCAAATGACAACATAACCTTTGCCCGATGACATCTACCCTAACACCTAATCTAAATGTCAACATAGCCTTTACCCGATGACATCTACCCTAACACCTAATCCAAATGTCAACATAGCCTTTACCCGATGACATCTACCCTAACACCTAATCCAAATGACATTACCTTTACCCGATGTCATCTAACCTAACACCTAACCCAAATGACAACATAATCTTTACCCAATGACATCTACCCTAACACCTAATCCAAATGACAGTACCTTTACCCGATGACATCACCCTAACACCTAACCCAAATGTCAACTAGCCCATGACCTGACACCTTTATCCACCCATCGGCCTAGGAAACCGAACGTCCTCGTCGTATTCAAATCAATAATTCATCATTATCGATTTTCCTTTGGACCATGATATAATCAATGACCTGCAACGGCCTGCGCAAATCGATGATCGATTGAGGTTATTGATGCTGAACACAAAGGAACCATACAATGTGGGTTATCGGTTTAAAAAAAAAAAGTTTTTGGGTGTTGAAAACTCTATTGTGGAACAATTGTCGCAAGCTGGTTAATACTTCACCGATATGAATTTCTACTATATTGTCGCTAGGTGGTTAATATTTAACCTATGTTAGTTTCTACCGAATTGCCGCAAGTTGATTAATATTTAACCGATGTGAGTTTCTACCAAATTGCCGCAAGCTGGTTAATATTTAACCGATGTGAGTTTCTTCAGTCGGCTACAGTTTCAACCAAAGGCATTCAAATATTTTCTGTTTAATAATGTGCTAAGTTGAAAATGTAAAAGCATTGTAGGATTGTTTTTTTTCTTTATTGAGAACACGCGTGGTGCACATACATAAATTATTATGTTGAGGAGATCGATTCTGTCTTGGATGTAACAAATTGATCAGTTGTATGAAACAGAAACTCCCAATCATTAAAACACACAATAGACTACACAGTCAAATAACTCGTATTGCATGTCTTGATTTAAAATATTTTTAGATACATTTTAAAAAAAAAGTTAATCTATCAATTTAACAATTTAAGAAAGTTTAAAAAATTGTTTATAGACAAAGAAAGAAAAAGTAAAATGAACATTAAAACATCGGAAAGCAAACTGTCAAATCATCAAGACTGTTTTTTATTTTCTGTTTAATTTATTTTTCTAAATTTCCATCGTTTTTTTGTACGATTTAATCATCAATTCTCCAAATAAGATGTTATCTTATATTCAATATCGCTATTAAAAAAACAAGGTAGCCTGGCTTCTCTAAACTAAGCCCTTGTATTGTAAAGCACACTACCATTCGCTACCATTCAACTAACGATACAATAGTATATCCAATACAAAACGAAATCCCAATTCCAATTCTGCAATGTCCTAAT